TTTGGAATCAACACAGTTTACCCATTTTTGGGTAGGTTCAGTTTTGACCGATCTGGGTGGATTCCACTCAAATTTGGGTAGTTTTGAAATAGCGTGTAGAACAACTCTAGATAGAGCTGGAGTTGTAGCGTAACAGCTTTTGTAAGCAGTGACTTCTCTCGGTGATTTCTAGAGGTTCTAGGCTCGTCCACGCAAATCTACATTACCATGTGGTAAGAGAAGACTTCCTCTACCCGATGGTTATGTTGGTTTCCGTGGTCGTGCCTTGAATTCCTGGAAATCAGCGAGAGAAGTCATTGCTTACAAAGGCTGTTACGCCCTAATTCCAGCTCTGTCTACAACTTGGATAATTTGCTGCGATCTTAAGGGCTGTCCATAAACTACGGATACAAATTTTTATACAAAAGATTTAAAAATTTGTATGGAGCATACGTGATACCAGTATGTATTGTATAATGGTATTTTTACAGTTTGTACCGTTCTGATTCATATTACGAACACGCTCAAATTCTGAGCACTTGTGTTTTTGTATGGGACGGATTTTGAAAAATTTTCTTTTAGGATGTCCATATTACGATAAGTCGTGAGTTTAAATACATTCTGAGCGGATCAGCAATATTTTAGGTAAAAAAGGTGTTTTTCAAAGGATGATTTTAACGCACTGTTCGGAATTTGAATCAATACGGTAAATCGCGCGATGATCGAGACGTTTCCGTCGGATAAGATTATTTTGCGGCCGAGTGTCTAGGAAGCTATGGAAACCGAAATGGCTCTTGATTTTGTTTTATGCCCTTATAGTATAAACCACCATCGCACTTCGTGAGTTGCCCCAATAGAACCCTTGCTTTTGGTTTGAATCAGTACAAATTCGTTCTATTATATAAAAAAAAGAAGTATACATATTCATTTTCTTCCGAACTAAATAAACCACCATCACACTTTGTGAGTGACCCCAACAGTATCCTTGCCGTTGGTCTAAATCGGGTCAAATCGGTTCTAATAATTATTTTATATTCAATCAAGTAAACCACCATCACACTTTGTGAGTGGCCCCAACAGCATCCTTGCTGTTGGTTTAAATCGGTTCAAACCGCTTATAATTAATTATTTTGGTCATTGATAAAATAAAATAAACCATCATCACACTTTGTGAGTGGCCCCAACAGTATCCTTATTGTTGGTATAAATCGGTATACACACATCTAATAATGATCTACATCTCTAGACAGCCGGCTGTTTAGAGCATAAATCGAAAACACTTATAAATAACTACACAAAACAAAAGATCGCATCACTTATCAAGGTGAATCCTGATCCAACGAACCTAACCCACTAACAAAACCTCCTTCCTGTGACTTTTGTGGGATGCAGAGGTAAACACGGTCCCAAAACAACAAAAGTCACACACTAACATTCCTTCCCTCTCCCACCTGATTGCAAGGATGTGGCCGGTGACGTTATTGATCTTTAAAGGTAGGAGTCACTGGAACATGTACACTGAGAATGGCAGGTTACTCCCAAGCCCCATTCAGTTGATTCTTTGTACAATTTCACTGGTTCAGATCAATCATGGAGTGCAACTATCGATACGTGCAGTCAGACTAAGCTAAGCTAAGCTAAGCTAAGCCACTCTCACTTTTTGTTGTTGTCAAAAACGGAACGAGAGATTCGACTTTCTCATGACTATCGTTCAATAAGCTACTAGTGAGTATATGAGATATTCTCAAATTTGAGTCAATTGAACTTTATTTTTTTGTAGAAAATACACACGAGTAAGTAATTATTTTTGCCGTAGCCAAATGCAAACTACTATAAGCGGTTTACTGAAAATTAGCTTATTGAACGGAACATGGGAGATGAGTGAAAAGAACTTAATTTTGGGTAATTTTTCGGTTCCGTGTATCCAGCTTTCCATGCTCGGTAATGGTGACCTGTTTGTATGAATAAATGTATCCTTCACTGTGCTTTTTGACACTAACTGGAGGGCGTATGTAGAGTCGGTGTATAATGAGTCACGCCAAGAGAATAACATTTGAACTCGCATCACGGTTTTCGGAAGATTTCCATTCTTTTCACTTGGCAACAGAGGACTTCAACAACTTCAAATGACTTCTAGCGAGAGAAAAAATATTGCGGCTGCAGTAAATCATTATATCAGTGATTTTGTCAAATTATCTTAACAAAAAAATAGTAGAAATTCTCATTACTAATCATTACCGAGCGTATCCCATGACAATTTAACGCTCACTGCGTGTTTATGCTCATTTTTTCGATTATATTTTATATTTTATTGCAATACCTTTCGTGGAACTTTCATAGCATCGTAATGTTTATTTACTTTGCACGATAGGTAGCCGGTTTGACAGTTCAATAGGTAGACTTGGCTTCACTCTTGGCGTGACTCATTATACACCGACTCTAGGCGTATGTTGTTCCATTTTCTTCTGTTCCTGGGAGAGGGAAAGGGAAGGGGTTGAAATTCGAACATCCAGATAGTGTCAAAAAGCACAGTGAAGGATACATTTATTCATACAAACAGGCCGCCATTACCGAGCATGGAAAGCTGGATAATACAAAAACTCAAATGCAACGCTTCAAAGTTTAATTTTTCTTTGTTTATAAAATAAATATGAATTTATGATTATAATAATACATGCATATAATTAATTTGCAAGAAAAAAAAACTACAAATAGCTACAATGAATTTCATAGTTGATCCGATTGCTTTTCGTATTCCTCTCGTTTCTAATTCATACGAATGAAACGTACATTTGATACTCATAACGTATCATTTTCATACGACATATTTATGAAATCCATATGTGTCTACTGCAAAAAACATAAATGATAACAGGGTGCGCGTTCATATTTCTATCGTATGAAATTCTAAATAAATTCTTTTGGTTAAATTCCATAAACATTTCGTATGAAATTCCAACGAATTATTTCCTCAGTGATCCATTGACGGCAATCGAATGTGCAAGGAAGGCAGCTCTCACCCTTTGAACACATATTGGCCGGGACCAATGGTTTTACTTCTCTTCCGAAGGAAGACGTGACCTGAGATTTTTACGCCTCAGAAAAATCCCACCACCCGGTTGGGATTGAACCCAGCCCCATTGGGGTGAGAAAGCAGTCACGCTTACCACTACACCACCGGCGCCGGTTTTCAAGGACCATTTGATAGATGATAAATTGAAATAACTAATGACGATGATGTCGTCATTTGCATTCATCTTGGATATGACCCAAAAGATAGAATTTAAATGTTGATCAATCAATTCGGAATCTTCAAGGTAATCCGGAGACAGATACAGCACACAGCAGAAAACCACTTTCGTTTGTACACGCTGATTCAAAACTACCCAAATTTGGGTAGAATCCATCCAGATCGGTCAAAAAAGAACCTACACAAAAATGGGTAAACAATGTTGGGTGTGTCAAGTTTAAAAATGAACAAAGTCGATCGGAATCATGTCGATGTTGTCCATTTGTCAACTTGTCACTCCCAACATAGTTTACCAATTTTTGGGTTCAGTTTTGACCGATCTGGGTGGATTCTACCCAAATTTGGGTAGTTTTGAACTAGCGTGTAGAGTTTGCTGGAGGAACCGAGCACGATTGGCGTTGACGGCGACTCTGTAGCTCTTTACTCCTATGAGAAAATCCATAAGTAAACGTCAGACTGTGCGTGAAACATGGCGGACTTTGTACTATCCTTTCACTCCACCGAAAATTCCCATAAGAAACTGTCTATATTTGCTGAAAGAGCAAATTTTTCGACGGTGCCGTCAACGCCAATAGAGGTTTGCATCGAGGAGATGTTTGTTAATCGATGGTGTATGAATTTGTGTGGGGGTGTGGGGGTAAAATTAAGATAGCAGCTAAAATGAACATTTCAAGCGTAACTATGCAAATCGACGTATCTGATTTTGTAAACAATCACTGCAATCGATGATTTGTGGCAACTGCTACCTCACTCACAAACACAACAGCTAGTAGGGAGAAGATTCCCCTACCTGATGATGGTGTTTGTTTGCGTGGGTGAGTTAGCATTTAAGACAAACGTTCGATTGAAGTGATTGTTTACAAAAGCAGATACGTCGATTTGAATAGTTATGCTTGATTTGATGTTTTAAGGGTTTATTTATAATTATAAACAATTCAGCACACAGGCAATTCAATCAATACGTCCTCTACCCCGTCCTCAGTTGTTTACATTTAAAGAAATTTGATTATTTCACCGTTAAAAGAGTCATGCGTTCATTTAACCTGGTACACGCTAAGATGCACATACCTAAAAGTCGGTAAAGAATACCTAGATATCGGTAAAAATTACCGATAATCGAAGAAAGTGCACATACCTAAATTATCGGTTATCATGGATTACCAATAATTAACGTCGAAAATGTCCTAGTTTATAGTAAAAAATAGCCTATTTAAAGTAAAAAGTAAAGATTTTTATCGATAAAAAGTACCGATAAATTTTTACCGATAATTTTAGGTAATCGTAGCTTAGAGTGTATGTTAATTTTACCCCCGCTTCCCCTACTTCTGATCAAACCGGTAGTTCTCTATATATATACTGGAACGAGATGTTGAGCCCAGTATCCAGAAATTCGCTAAAGCTGAAAGTGTATACGATAGGTGATACACGTTGTGAGAATGCTGCACTACAATCATGACGTTTGCCTCGAATCCTGTGTCGCAAGGTTGTCGATCGAGCTAGGTGGTTAGACCAAGTGGTGCAAAATCTAGGATGTGTTGCGGACGCTCGGGAAATTTGAGACAAGCAACCATGAACCGAGTTGGAGTTGGCGCAACATTATGTAGTAGGTCAAGTCTTATCGAAGGACCAGGAAAAGTTAAGTTGGTATATTCAGCCAATGCTGAAAAACTGTCCTATTATTGTTTAAGTTAATGGGATTCTTATTGTAATACATAGTTCAATAAGTAAATTTTTCAAGAAGAAAACTTTTTCTATGAATGCCTGCACTTACCTCACTTGATAGAACGTATGGAGCATTTTTGCCGGTCCTTTGGTGTCCCACCAGAAGTCGACCATCTTAGCCAGGTGGTTGATTTCCGTTTTGCTAACGCTATCCTTTGGTGCTGCTTCTTTTGGTCGATTGTCATTTCTGTTAGAAGAAAATAAATTTATGTAGGTATTATCAAAAATTAATTTATTTCAGCATGATTCAGCGAAATACGAATCCGACGATCAATGTTCGCTTACAACATCGATTATCAACGTTGCCGCACCGTGCGATTAAGTGTTTTTTTCATTCAGTGGTTGAGAATCGATGGCTTACAAGACTGTTTTAGATAATAAAAATATGATAATAATTTGATTGTTGTACATCACAGTCACTGTGACTACACCGTTTCATTTCAATGATAAAGTTCACGCTGATAACAATCGTCGGATGCATGTTACGATGGGCTGTCTGTTCTAAAAAAAGATTTTTTTTTGTATATGCAAATCGAACGACTTAACATTTTGGTTGCCCTGGTGCGTTTCTTAACAAAGTGGGTTTTCAAATGGTAGATTGCAAATTCCGTTCATCATTATCGTTCTTTCTCACGACAGCGTTAATTCAATTGAAACACATAACAACTTCTCCACATAATCTCCGGTACACTTACAGTCCGATAATGAAATTGCCAAATTGTGCCTCCAAAGCCTTCGCAACTAAATTGAGCTTCAACACGCTGAACACGATCTCCAGTGCTTTGAACACCAGGCCCAGAACTACGTACATTCCGTAGTAGGGACTCATCTTGATAGTTTAAATTCAAACGCGTATAATACCACAGACAGACATACAAATTAGTACCGTTGTACTCCTTTAATCAAGTACCTCAAAACGTACAATTTGTGGTACTAGCTTAAAGCAGTACAACGGTATTACAACAGTGAACTTTGTATGTCTGTACAAGGTATAACCCAGGATTGGCTGCAAACGTGATGAACTGACGATGATTCAAACTGAACTGCTGAATTGAAACTGACTGTCGGTAGGAGAAGCTCCGTTGCGAATCAGGAATATAATTTTAGTTGTATGTATTGTGATTTTCACGTAAAAAGAAGCGATGTAGACCGAGCTTGATCGCCCGGTGGGACAACGTTGAGAATCGATGCTCTAATTCAGCGTTTCTCAATTTATGCGTCGCGACCGACCGGTGGGTCACAAACATTCAGACAACTTGGTCATGTTTTTAATATATCGTGCCAAATTTGTCTGAATTTAAAATTATGTTGAGGTAATCCAAATTGAGTTATAGTACGTTCAGAATATAGAGTTATAACATGTTATAACGGTTGTCAAATAATTGCAACACAGAAACCACCATCTATAGGCCGGCAAAATAAACTGCCGAGAATCCAACAGCCGAGATTTCATTAAAAATCTCGGTAAAAGTATAGAATACCGAACGCTTGGTAATTATCAGTTTTATTCAACTGTCAAAATTTACCGAGAACATCGGTACTTGTATGCCGAGCGTTCAGCTTTTATTTTACCGAAATACCTCAAAATAAGAATAAATCTTTTACCAATCCTCCGGCAAACCGTTCATGTAAAGATTTAGCTTTTGCCGAATATCGTGGAAATTTCAACTCAAATTAATTGGATTATTCAGATTTGCAATAATAATAATAATAGGGTAAACGCTCCTATAGTTGCGGTACGTTAGAAGCGTTAGGTTCATATAGTTGTGTATGGAGACTCCATACACAACTATAGGAACCTAACGCTTCTAACGTACCGCAACTATAGGAGCGTTTCCCCTAATTACAAATTAGTGGAAATTCTGTGAACAAGTCTTTATTCAAGTTATTCACGCAATGACACATTATTTCTCACTCTTCCACTCACCTATCAGCGTGTCCCGGAACTAGTTGTTCCGGTTAAAAACATGTTTTCTACCGAGAAATCAGCAAAAATCGTATTTTACCGATTAAGTTCAGCAATCTATTTTACCGAGATAAAAATATAAGATTAAGTGTGTAGATAGCGCTATAACATGTTATAACTCTGTAGTGTGAACAAGGCATAATATCACGTTCAGACTACAAAGTTTTAACATGTTATAATCAGTGATGGCATAATCATTAGCAGATTGATATTTTTACGCTCTCATGCGCGCTCAATGAGGCATGATATTGGAGCAAAATTATCATGCTCGATATTGACTTTACAAGCTCCTCTGATATTGCGAGACTATTCACAACCGAGTTCACAACGTGTACAGTTGAAGCTGAGAGTTGAATTGCCGCAAAAATGATTCCGTTGCACTTCGTTCTCTTCACCGATGGCAGACACGACGCGACAGCTGCCAGCCGTTATGAATGCTTCGGTTGCGTTCGGTAGTACAGCAAAAATCATGAAACTCCATCTCACCACAGTTCAGTGAGATTTACAGTTGTTGAATTTTGTTAGCATTATATTCCGAGCTGCGATATCACAGCTTATACAATATCAACCGCAGTTGTTTGCTTGTTGATTTTAGTCTACGAAAAACAAGCGTGATCTTGATCGTTGGTGAGATTAATTTTTTTGATATTTTTCCAACACTGGTTATAATAATTATTTACAAGACAAATATCATCAAGATAAGCTTATAACATGGCTTATAACCTGGCGAATGTGTATTAGAAAGTTCTCAATTAACGACTGTGTAAGTGCTCAAAGAAACCAAGTTGCTGGCATAAAGTTCCAGTCAGGCTTGCAATTGCTCATTACAGCTAAAATGCTATTTTTCGTAATTATAAAACAATGAGATACTATACTGATAATTTTTATTTGTAAGATGCAAGAAGAGGTGGTAAAGTTTGTGTATAAAATATAAAATTTGTCAATTTTGCTTTCAGAACGTCACAACTAGCGATTAGCTGTAACGATGAGCAACGCGATGAGTGAGCAATCAGCGATCATAAAATCGCTAGTTGTCATACACAAACTTTACCACCTCTTCTTGCATCTTACAAATAAAAATAATCATTATAGTATCTCATTGTTTCATAATTACGAAAAATAGCATTTTAGCTGTAATGAGCAATTGCAAGCCTGGTTCCAGTAAGAACGTATTAAAGCCAAAAAGAAGAAGATTCAGCCTATTTTGGAGATTTCAATGTCATTTTAAAGCCAGTTTGGAAAATCTGGGCCATTTTGACATTTTTAGCGATTTGATGACCATTTTGACGTTCAATGAGAGTTCTAGACGAACAATTGAAATAGGTGAAACAACCAAACGTAAACAATGACTTTAAATGCAATGTCATACTTAATTATCTTAAAGATGAATCGTCCAGCTCAAACCTTTGTAGGGGTAAGAGGTGGGACCATCATCATCATCACCCACGCAAACTAACAGTGCCATTCGATTCGATAATGGAAGTTGGATGATGCTGGTATTAAGTCCCAAGCACAATGTGGGTGGAAGCGGAACGGAAACGGAAAGTTTGACAGTTATCACAAATGACTTCAAGCTGCCTAACCGAAGTCGATTTGGTTCTAACTTGCTTTCAATCCGACAAGTAGGCTTCCGCTGTCATTGCGCTTGGGCCTTTATATCAAACGGTGAAAAATAACGATTTTACGATTACGATTGGTTTGGTTTGTTGGGTAGCCTATTGGTCCCAAGGAAACGATTAACGTACTCCCTTCTAGTCGAAATTCTAGTACTACACTATGTTTGTTTTGGTTCTTGGATTTTCCTATGTTTCGAGGGGTGCATCGATTAGCTTGGGATCGAAGAGAGTACCAGAGCTGAGCCAAAAAGTTGAGCACGTATCTTCGGGACCTTCTAGTCTTAGGGTTACCTCTATGTTTATATTGCGTGGATGTGATTTGATTCTCGAGAAATTTTAAAATTAAGTTAACTTTTGGTTGTTTCGCCTATTTCAGTTGTTGGTCTTTAGTTGTCGATTTCAAAATTATTAAAAGAGTTGTCAGGCCGTTTTGATGATTGTAAGGCCATTTTGGCTCATTTTATTATTTTGAAGCCGTTTAGGAAACAATACTAGTCTATTGTGAGGCCATTTTTGAGTGTTAACGTCGTAAGGGTTGTATTTCGGTGTTTTCAAGATTATTTGAGGGTTTTTAGGGCGTTTTCAAAGGCCATTTCAGTGTTTCGAGGTAATTTTTGCGGTTTTGGATCATTTTTTGCAGTCGCAATTTTGGCGTTGCACGTTGGTCCGGAGTCGATAATACTATTTTGTTGATTCAGAACTACTGTTACGTTTCGATTACTCTTTCAATAATTTCAGATCATTTTCGTACATTCAAAGTAGTTTTTGGACTGATTTGGCGTTTTGGCGTAAGTTTGTCGTTTTTTTGTGTTTTTACTTGTTTTTCATTTAACGCCAAGCTGTTTCAATGCCATTCTGTTATTGAGTTTCAAAGAATATTCAGATCAGAGGGCGAGCTAAAGACATTTTAGAGATTTTAAGGTCATATTGGCTCTTACATCATCTGTATTCATTATTGGTGGGTCGCGAGCTAAGGAAATTTCTAATGATGGGTGGCACTCGATAAAGGTTTGAGAACCGCTGTCTAATCCATCGAGTTGCGACGAAAGCTTGCTGACAGTCATTCTAGAATGGAACGTGCAATATCAACGCACACCCACTCACTCACCCGCACCGGCACGAACAGAGTGCGCATAATCAGAGAAGCATCCACGAAATAAACTCCGTTTATTTTTTGCGTGGTCATAGATAGGGCAACCGTATCAGTTGTGGTTATAATTCCTACTAGAATGTGTTTCTGTCATGACATATGGGACATAGGAACGTGTAGCCAGAAATGATTCACTTACCCTTTTCAAATTCGGCATCCTCTCGGGAGGCGTAACCGACGCATTCACGTGCCGGTCAACAACACACCGAAAATGGTTAACTAACACAGTTCCCTGGTGAGAAGAACTTTCATCATGATGAGATTGCATTTTTTTATGGTTGCAGAAACTGGTTTGAAGCTCAAGCAGAAACATTCATTGGTGTTATGGAACAAACGGTCTCTGGCTCTTGACGGAGGAATTACTGGTTGTGAGTGTACGACGATCCCCTCGCTGAAATCATTAGTTTTCGCAAAATCAATTAGCCTCAGCATCTTGAAAACTTCTTAGTCCAAGATCTCAAATGTTATACCGTAGATCTAATTGTTTTTTTTTTTTAATATTTTTAAGTTCAATCTATCCCTTCATCACACCTGATGCAATCATCGACAAACCGACGTGGCTGCCTATATTGATATTACACCAGGTTGAATATTCTCCTTTTATTCACCATCTCCACCTATTCGATTGTGTTCATATCAGGGGGACTCTATCCCTGTCAACCACATATTTAGATGCACCAACAATCAATACAAAACTAACGATTTTAAATTGGCTCACCACTTGACTAGCCTATTGGTCCCAACCAAATCGATTAACGTACCCCATTCTAGTCGAAATTCAAGTACTACACTATGTTTGTTTTGATTCGCTATTGAAATTTGACAGATAAAATGAGGGGTTCGTGGATTTTCCTCGAGGGGCGCATCGATTAGCTTGGGACAGAAGATAGTACCAGAGCTGATCCAAAAAGTTGAGCACGTTTCTTCGAGACCTTCTGGTCTTAGAGTTACCTCTATTATAGTAGCGTTTCGCTTAGAGTCTTTGAAACAAATGTACATGTAACTTAGCAAATATTAAAAGATCTGAAACTTTTAAACTTGCTTTAAATTTCAAACTTAAATTTTGTTTTGAACTATGGGACATGAATTTGACAGTTGGGTCCTTTAATTTTGCAAAATAT